TCTGCTACGTGCCTCTAATTTCTCTGCTTTGATGAAAGTCCTAATGTCACCACTTAGGCAATGAGAAGGCAAGTTAGGGCTTTATCAGGACTAACTGGCGGAAAGCAGAGTTGAAGGCAGATCTTGATTAAGTGCTCTAAGCAACTGGAATTAAACTGTGGGACTGCAGAGTCTGGGAAGTAGTGGTCCACATGCAAGTTTTCATTTCAGAGCCCCTCAAACTAAGCCCCTTTTAAAACCTGATCTTTTTCCTCCAGCTCTCCTCTTCATGCTACAAGTAAACTCATGGAACCTGCCAAAGTAGAAAACTTACTTATTAGTCACAGGACAGTTGGTGGCACACAGAGCATACTCCTGATTAATTTATCAGTCTAGGTTATTTTACTGCCAGCTGGCCCACCCTCATTGTGTTATATGAGCATGTTGCAAACTATAAAGTGTTCACAGAAAGATACATTTCTCTCTCTTCCTCTCACACTCTGCTTTTACTCTGTGCTTGTTTCTTTAGAGATCCTGGTGTTGTGGGAAGGCTCCACGGAGTATCTGTATGCCTGCTTCTCATTTGCATTAAGAGTCCCTAAGGTGCCATGAAGAAAGTTTAGGATTAAGTAAGATTCAGGCCTTGATTTCTGTGAGGGTCAGAGTGGGGTGGTTTTGTTTTCTGCTTTTTAGTTCTTTTAAAATTGTGTAAATACAATTAGTATTGCTTCCATTTTGACAGGCTACACTCAAGTAGCGGTTCAGATTACCCCCTCTGCAATTTATATTTGAGGAGTTTATTTGATTTTGGTATTGCATTATTAAGAGAAGGCACAGTGAGACAATTAAAAATACTGACAGGGATCCTGACCAATTCAAATCTTTACATTTTATCTTAGAAAAGAAAGGAAGAAAATAGAATTTCCCACATAGCAAAATTATGAAAACCACAAAGGGAAGTGCCACCTAAAACTGTACTATGGAAAATGTAACCACCACAAACTTGTTTTGCACTCATGTGAATCAAGACCGGGACTAATTTCCCAATGTGTCAGAATTCTGAATTTATTTTTTTGTTCTCTTATGGTTTGCAAGGCAAACAAACAAGATCAATTACAATACTTTAGCAGTCTGTCAAATAAGGCAATTCTGTTGCTTACTTTTGAAGGTACTGCATTAATGGAAATCTTTTTTTGTAGCATAAAAATACACATGTAAGTTTTGCACAAACCATAAAAATGTATTATAGACTTCAGCTAATCTTATATCTTTCATTTGTATGGAGGCCAAGTTAATTAAAACCAGAATAGAAATGTGTTTTATTCATGAGTCATATACCTCTGACTCACAATAGAGTCTGTGCAGCTAATGGGTTAATTTGTTCTGATAACATAGAAAAAATGAAGCTAGAGGTTATGACACTGTTTGAACTGGGTGCTGGTTTCAGACAGTAGATGTACAATGTTTTTATGCAATTAAGAATACAGATCTGCTCTAATGATGTCCTTTCTGTTTATTCAAGTGCTGTTACAATCAGTTCAGAAAGATCTAGAGGTACAGAAGGCTTAGAAATCCAGGACTCACACCTTCAATATTCTATTATTGTAACAATATGTACATCAAAGTGTTTAAGCAACTGTTACACAGAGGAAAGTCTAAATCACATGCATGTAACTTGTAATGCTGGCAATTTCCTCCTAGCCAATGGCCCTGCAGCACTTCAATAGGAAAAATTCCTCCCCAAGCAAACTAACAAACCCACATACATACTTGCCTCTGTGGCCTGATGCTGATCACCTACATCTTTACCAAAGGAAGTGTGATAATCTTTTAAGCTACCAGCCTTTATAGTTCCTCTGGTCCTTTTTCCCCTGTGGACTGGTGTTCCATGCCAGGCTCATTGGTAACTTTCTAGCTCTTTGTTTTACACCACAACTTAAAGGCACATACAGGGTACAGGAAGGGGAACTTGGTTACTAATCTACACCTATCATGATCTTCTGTGTAAAGTTAGAGAAGTTCACTTACAGCTTTCCTCCTCCCACATTCCTGCAAGACTGTGAGCCTTTCAAGACAATGACTGTATCATAGCATGCATTCATGGAACTGTTAGTGCAACAAACCCTGTAGCATGGATATAAACCAAAAAGCAATAATAAGCACACCTGAGTTATACCTGCCTAAAACTTAGTGCCAAGGCTGAAAGCAGACAGTAGCATTCTGATACTCTACAGTTGATTTAGTTATTTGACCTCTAAGGGCCTCACAAGAGAAGACAGAAATTATCCTGGTTTTTCAACCCTCATGCAGGTACAACTCTTAATGAATACAAGAGTGGACAAGAAGCACATATCTTTTATGAGCTAATTACAAAGAGCCTATAAGGGATCCTTTGAGGAAAGCAGGCCTTAAAAGTAATGGTTTTGTGGGTGTAATTATACAGGATTGTGCTAGGATGTGAAGACAATACAACACAGGCCTCAGTGTAAATGTGACTGAGGCTTCCCACGGTGATACGAATATTTATCCATTTCTAGGTAAAACAGACTCAAAGGAACCACAAGGACTTTTCTCATATATTTAAAGTTAATTCAGTATTTTGCTGAACTGAGGCTACAGCCCTCAGCACCTTGCAAGTTTCAGACTGTGTATGGGAATATAAGTACTCCCCCCTTACATAAGTATTGTCACCCAACCAAAAAAAAAACCCAAACAAAAACACCCAGTCAACCAACAAGGAAAATTACATTTAAAAAAAAAAAAAAAAAGAAGGTTCTGATTCTGGTCACAGTGATTTACCCTCCACCCCCCTGCACAAAATTTAATAGCCCTCATCTGTTCATCTAATATAACAGCTATAAATCTGGCATGTGATCCAATGGACTAATCATTCAGAGACATGCCTACAGTCAGCACCGTTCATTCCTCCCAGCATCAAAAGCTCTAAGCAGTGGATGGTGCTGATTAGTCACAGCCGAAGACTTTAAAGACTCAACATGCTAGTTTAGTATTAATTTTCACCTAACTGGAACAGTACAAACACCCAGGAGAGGGAGAAATAGTTAAAGTATGTTTGCAGGCTTATTCCCAAGAAAATTAAACTGAGCCAAGTAGGAAAAAGTCTGTGCAGTCTGACACAACATGGAGATCTCAGGAGGGAAGCAGAAGATGCTCTTCCCATTTTCCCTCCCCAGCCCACATGAGGGGCATGGTCCCAGACAGATTTTCCACCCTTCACACAAAATATACGCACCAAGGTTGCAATCCTGGAGAATCTGTTCGAGCACCACCTCCCCGTGAAGCCATCTAAATTTCACCCTTGATTTTCAAATGAAAAATCCCTAGCTTTTTATGCCTGAACATGTTCGAAGCTGACCCAGTCTCAATGGGACTGAGTAGTTCTAGTTCTAAGCCGGCTGAGATCCAAAAATAAGATGTATCACTCAATCCAGTACTTGTATTCAGAGAAGGCCCAAGAAGCCTCAACTGGCTTTACAGAAAAAATGCAGTTGTGTCTGCCATTTTCCTAAAACACACCTTGTAGATGATGCAGTGCTCACCTTCCCATGTGAGCTTGCCTAATGGCTAGAGAACAGGTAGGAACCAGGAGTAAAACTATTATTTGCTTTGCCTGAGGAAATACAAACCTAACTCAGGCTGCAGGCTCTGTGGGGTAGGAATACCTTCTCTTGGGCTGTCTGGCAGCAGAGTCCTAGAAGAGACAAGTGACAGCGATCAAAGCTCAAGAGGAACCTTGCACTGAAATAGAGGGGATGTTAGTCCTGGTTCCTCTTCAAAATGTGTTTTGGTATTGTAGCACCCTTTGATTGACTAAAATACAGAAGCAGGCCTTGCGGGAGGCCCAGAACACAGGTTCTTCCCCAAAATCCTTTTCCACCCTTTCAACAACCTAACCACCAGTTATGCTACCTCTTCTGCTCTTTTTCGCTCTCTGTCAGTTAATGTGGAATGACTTGTGAGTTGCAACTTCAGGTTATGAGTCAACAGTGCCCCTCCAACATTAAAAAAAAGCCTATCACCTTAAAATCACACTGCAGGTTATGGCACTCTTCTAAGGAGGAGGAGAAATAACTCCAACAGGTGCAGAAGGACATTAAACCCAGATCTTTTACTTTCTGGGTGAATAGCAACCAAGAAATTGAGGTAGCCAGACCGTGACTTTTTTGTTATACTGCAGTGTTTGAAGAAGAGCAAGTCTACTTGCTCTTCAGGACAAAAGCCATAAGTGCATATGGTGAGGCTTAAGACTGTGGATCCTAAGCAGACAGAGAGGTACTTCTTTCCAGCCCTGAGTAATAGGCTGGGATTGAAGAATGGCATTAAAACTCACCCTGTCCTTAGTGTTCCCTGTTGATTAGGCAGCTCTGCTTGGTGGTTTCAGCTTTATAAGCAGACCTAAAGATCAAACACCTGCTTCTGTATTCATTCCAGTAATTCAAGTGGCTAAAAATGTCGATCTGTAGCACTTTAGATGCCTATACTTTTAACTGGTTCCAAGTTCTGCATTGAAGCTCCTGTATTAAAGGGTCACAACAAAAACAAGTTTATAAAAAAATATATCTCAAAATCTTCCTAAATGCAGTTATTTTCTGAAATGGACAGTTTAATTTCGATCATTTTAACATTTCACTAACATTTTGTTAAATTTCAAATTAACAAAATTTCTCTGCAGAAAAATGCATTATACACAGCTGTAATATTCACTACTAAAGTGTTCAGCACAGCAATATTAAAGCAGAGGTATACTTTGCTATTTTGAGTCAAACACAGCATTTTTCTGACCTGCTGCTGTTAATCATTTCAAACATATGTTTACATGGCTGTTTTTGCCAACCCACTTTCAGCTGTCACCAGCCCCCACAGAAAATAATAATAAACACCTAGTACACCCACAAAGAAGTAACTGAAAATGCATTAGATGCATAGAGAGGTCTGGAAGCTATGAGAATATAAACCATACAGCCTTCCTAATTTTTTGTCATATATCTCATATTTTGACCCAACAACAACATACAGTGTTGATTTTCAGGTACAAATTTTATTGTGGATCATAAGAAAACTTTCAGAAAAAGAACAAGAAAAAATCAGCAATAGAGTGTCTCTTACAGATTACATAAAACATATTCTGTGAAAGCTAACTCTGCAGTTAAAGGCAATGCAACTTAATTTAAACTAACCATTATTTTCAGATACACGTTAAGAAGCAAGTTTTGCAAATATTCTTTTTTCTTAAGTAGTTTGATATTGAAATTGAGAACCAAATATTTCAATGACACTAACATTGTTTCAGAGTGTCTAGTATTAAACTGTTAGACAGAAAAGAAAATCTCAATATTGCAAAAATAAATAGTAACACAGAAAATATTGTCAAAATACATAAAATTAGTCCTAGTAAATGTTAAATGACTCAAAACCTCTTTGGAAAATCTGTGGATGCTGAGGTATACACAATTTTGGAATTTTGGTGCTGCTATCTCCATTTTTCATATGATACATCAAAACAAAATACCTTACTTTAAATACAACTTTCTACGTAGGATTTCTTAGACTTGTACTTTAACTGTAAAGAGATGACCCACACTAATTCTTATAGTAAAATGTCAAAAATCTATTAGGCAACAGTGTAGAAAATCTTGCAAGAGGTTTTCAAGGCACTGTTCTCTCCTTGGGTGCTTGGCACACACACAGGCCATTCATGAAGGCTGTTTTGATAGGAAGACAGGAATAACAAAAAATAGACCTAAAGCTAGTATCTAGTATATTAAATATCATGTATATCTTTCTCTAATGAAATAAAACTCATACTTTTAAAAGCCGTTCTGCTTTACAACACTGTGGCTTGTGGCAAGGTGTCTTCTAAATTAATCTGAAACATTAATTTAAAAACATAGTTTATGAAAATAAGAACAAAAGTCAACCAAGTAGCATTTGCCTCAATCAATATAGTCCACCTGAATGTAAACTATTGCCAAGTACTGTAACCCTCTGCAAAACAGAAAGGAACAAATGCTCTGTTGATTTAATGCCCCTGGTTTACATGGAGATACGCCAATCACCAACCTGGTCCACAGTCAATTGAAGTAGATTAGGACCCTATTCCAGCACTCACTGGCCCACTTGAATTCCTGAACTCTGTAGCTGCAAGGGCAGGACTGCTGCCCCCCTAAAACAGGAAAGTATCTACTGACTAAGAAATGCAAAGAACTAGATATTCTGCAGTCAGCTCATTTAATAAGAAACTTGGTACATCTGTACTCCATTGGAAATACAGAGCAATCCAATTCTGGACTTTATACATGTGTCTCAGGTAAAATTTTGCAAAGATTCCTACAATACCTTTTTTCTAGGACCTGTTCTTTATGAGAACTAAATACCAGTCAGCTGGGAAAGAAATTTGAAAGAAGTTGTCCTCAAGATATTAGGATTTTAGATAATTATTTTGACAACATCTTTTTGACATACTCTTAAGAATCTGTAGCTCCTCTTTGAAAAAAACAGTTTTATGTGGTTGACAGAGCATGCCAGGATCCATCAATAGCAAAAGGATGCCTATCTCCAACCACAAAACAAATCTGGATACCATATTGTTGGATGCAATGGATGGATTAGAAGTCAGAGAAGCACAAAAAACTCTGTTCTTTTGGCAGTTTCATAATGCCCCAGCAGCAGAAATGTTTACTGACTGTTTGTTACTCAAGGCAGGCTAATCTGCCAGTTTTCAGTGGAGTCAGCTACCTGTCGGCCTTCATGTGACAGAGCACAACAGACAAGCACATTGGTCCATTGGATGAAATCCACATACCACCATGAGATCTTAAAGCAGTGGCTTGGATTCATTCTACCTGGCTTTAGAAACCTAGCCAAAGTGCTGAGACAGCAGCCTTGAGATCAGAGGCTCCCTCTGGGACCAGCAGAGAAACTGGCTTCTCCAAGTGACTGTTTGCTAAATCCATTGATTTGGATCTATTTAATCATTTAAAGTAATTATAAATAAAATCAGGATTGAGCTAAAACTTAAACAACTTCTATTGTGATATAAACAGTGCGAAAATTCTGCATTCAGCTGTACATCAGAATACATTGCTGTGTATCAAGAATAAAAGCATCATAGGTGTCAGCAGAATTTGGCCCAGCTAACTTATCATTTCACTTCGCTGAAGGAAGGTGCTGGCCTCCACTGATTGCTAAAGAGCAAACTGTCTACAGTAGTATTCTATATTTCTATAATATTCTGTATTAAAGCAATAAATATTAGATATAATCTGTATATTAGATTTCATATTTATCTGATAGCTATATAAATCTACACTGTCAAAAATATAAGCAGTGACTCACTCCTACATGGCAGCATATGCTATTTTTGTGAAGGTGTTAAAACTATCTCATGGGTCTATATCTACATAGGACACTCTTGTTTATATAGCAGATTTTAATTTACATAAATTCTTACCATAGGACAGATAATTGTGTAAGGTTGGATATTGTTTAAATGTTTCTATGGTGGTGCATAATTGCATTTCTGTATGAGGATTTCATCATTCTATCTCAGCTTTATGTTTTTTAAGGATGGAAAACGAAGTCTGACCAGAATCTCCAATAATGTTATATCAATATAGCACAGGAATACTTATTTTCAAGTCCAGGCAAAAAACAGTTTCACTGTTCCTAACCTTTTTCCTTTACAAATATAAATATCCTCTTTAATGAAAGTGCACTCCTGAAAACATGGGCAACCAAACCATTTTGGCATTCTTGAGATGTAAATGAGTGTTTCAGCTGAGCATGGTCTGCAGAAAAAACATCATACATTTTTAAATTAACTATTACAATTATTACAATCTAGGTGTGCAAATGAAAAACTTACATGTTACACATTAAAATAAGCTGAAATTGCTGCTGGTATATGCATGAGAAGTTCTGTCCCAGTTTGCTCAAAAAATGCTTGATTAATTCCTATCGTTTAGCTTCTTAGATATTAAAGATACAATGAAAACATGTTCATTTTCATGGAGGTCAAAATGTCCGGTTATTTCCCTCTGTAAAAGGCAAATAATTGTTATTTCCTGTACCTCTAATTTCAGTAACTCAGTTAAAAATATAGAGGTAACAAAATATTTTAACAAAGGTATTTAGAATGCTTATATCAATCAGATAATATTTTCTAAGTTCAGAGAACATCCAGGTATTCTCCTCTGAATTAAATGCTGACTTTCCTTTGCAAAAGTTGATATTTACTTCTCAGAAGAATAATTTCTGTAGCTCCCCAGCAGAAGCCAGTATCAACATGTTATTAAACATCAGTTAGTGTTCATCAAAGATATAATGTAATTGCTTGTCTTTCCTTTATGCTAATGTTGCACTGGAAAACTCTACCATTTAAAAAAAAAAAAAAAAAAAAGCACTGGAAAAATGAAAAGCATGTAATGCTTTATATAAAAGTAACGTATAGCTGTTACTGACTGTTCTTGCCAGCACTGCATTTCTTCAGATGAACAGACTCAAGAGCTGACAGATTGCTTTCCCTTCTACTTATACCAGTTCTGCCATAATTGGATGACTATTAACAAGTCTCCTTCCTGCACTAAGCAGTCCAAAGATTTCTAAATAGTTGTCCAGTAATTTCTGCCTAAGGATTTTTTTCCTTACTGTGTAACCCAGGATCCCAAGAATCTTGATTGCATCAGAACACTTCATTTAGAAAGGTATCTAATACTAACATCAAGACTTCTAGCAAGTGATTAATTTACTCTTCAACTTATGCCAGTGCAGGTTTTGATGACTCAGGCAGTCTCCATCAGCTTCTTTATGGAAATTTAACTAGTGGTTGATCAACTCCCATTTCTCTTTTGTGTCTTTTTTAAAGCTAAAACCAAACAGGTTACAGCTTACACTTGGTGATGATTAGGTAAAAGTAAAGCAGTGCTTTTGTACCTGAAATGCTACAGCAATGTTTCTAGAAAATTATTATTCTTTTTTTGTGTTGGACATAATGCAGCAAAATACATTCATCATAAAATCAACCAAAGGGACAAATTCTAAATCCTATTTAGCAATAAATCTAAACTTGCAATCTGGTAATCATGTGTTTAAACTACTAAAAGAAAAAGAAGCCATTCTTTTACTGTCTAATAATATCTAATAATACCATTATTATAGGGAAACTGTACTGTACAGGTGTGTTTTTCTGACGTGTACTTTGCAAAAAAGATCTCTTCCTTGAACAAAACTAAGTGACCAACTGCAAAGTGTGCTTATGCGGAATGCTCAACAACACATTTAAAGCAAAGTAACACATTATAATAAGTCTGAAGGAATGAGTAGCCACTACACAGTTTGTACCCATAAAACTCAAGCCTAATAGCACTGGAAATATAAATTAATCAGGTTAAGCACTTGAGAAAGTCTCTTCTTTTTAGCTGTGATGTGAGCAAGAGTGTTTAACTGTTTCTCCCCATGCACATTTCTCATAACTAGAATGCAACCTCCATCAAGGATGGAAAATATTCTTCCCCTCCCCAGATTAGAAAAGATATATGTAAAAAATACTAAAATAGATACTCAGTACAGAATCTTCCTATGATTGGCTCCAAAGACTGATTTGAATTAAAGCTACTAAATATTTTTTTTCATTGTTGTTACACCTACCACAAAACAGTGTGAAGGCAGTTATTATTGAGACATTAATTCTCCCAGAATATACCCAAATACCTTTCTCGAAACCTTTCTTCTTCATAAGTTATATTAGTTTTAAATCTACTATGAAAATAGTAGTGCAAGAATAATCAATTAAAAAATTCTTCAGATAAATGGTTTAGTTCCTTTTAGGATAAAGATGCAGAGGAATACCGATGAAAAATATGCCAGTTATGATGCTTTCTTTGTTGACACTCCTTTCACACAAATCAATTCTTCATTCCACATTCCTGTATTTGGTAAACAAGTTGTACAGTACTCTCAATGTAGACTTCAAGTCGCAATTTACAATATCTATGAAAAAGACAAGGGAAAACCAATTAGTAACTTCATGACATCAAAACATTTTTCAGAAAAAGTGCCTATTCTCTACTCCTTTTCCTTGTTCATATCCATATGCATCAACATTAGAATCAGACAGATAGTAAGAAGAATAGAAATATACATAAAGCACAGTTTTTAAATTGGCAAATCAAAAATCAGTATTTCATCCACTTTTAGTTAGGGATACAAATGGCCAATGGTGCTGATGCAGAAATGCAACCAAGGTTTAGATGCCCATAAGACAAACTGTGCCTAGAATCTTGTATACTTATATGACTGAGTCTTCAGTTAATTGTGAATGAAAAGTAATGATTTAGAAAAAATCATCGGGCAGGAACCAATGGAACTCTTCTCTTATGTAAGAATTGAAGGACTTGGCCTATTCTGGGCTGCAACATCCTTTATTAGGCCTCATTTCAGCAACACAGCTAGAAGCAAATTTACATTTCCTAAAGAATCTAAAGAAGGTAGGTATACAAGTGTCCCTTGAAGACACTTCTGAAAATACTTTGGGTTAGCTGATGTACATGACTGAATTAGTCCTTAAAAACTCAACATCTAAAGTAAAGGATTTATATGAAACAAAAAGTTAATGAATACCTTCTGTTTCAAAGAGAAGTTCTTGAGAAAGTCAGTATTATTTCACAAGAAATCTATAAAACAAGCTGACAAGTACTACTGCAGCAGTCTGCACTAGTGCTTCAAGGAATATTCAATCTCAAACAGGGATTTAGGATTGCCCTTAGAAAAAATAGAATAGAATTAGAATTGTCCTATCTCTTTCTGTTGACTGTGTAGGAATTCAATCTCCTAACCTTGGTGCTTGGGATTCGCCATGAAGGTGTAAAGTAGACGGTGTGCATACTCCCATTATCTTCAAAATCTCCAAGTAAGCCTGGTAAATTGTGTATGTAATCATCAGAGAGTTTTGCCATTATATTTATCCACACAGATGTTTCTCATAGATTGTGAAAGGGTTATACTTTGAAGAATGAATCTAATCAAACCTATGCATGGTGTCCCAGAGTATTTAGACTTTGAAGGGCTAAAGATATTAGCTACTTGGCAAACTGACATCCATGGACAAAGGGTGAAAACACTCAAATCTAGATTTTATGCTGAGCCTATGCATGGTGATGAAACTATGGCCACATGGTTTTGTGGCTCCTAATAAATCAGATCAAAAACTCTTGGTATAAAATGAAGAGAAAATGTCAAAAGCTACAGGAAGGGCACATTGCTCCCACAACATCATATTACACTCTGCAGGACTGTTTGCATATAACTCGGGAAGTTTCCTCTCTCAGGCCAGCAGCAAGCTGCATAACACCTTCCTTTCCAAATGCAGAACTTCAAATGAATAAAGAGATAACTTTGACAGGTCTTTGTAAAGTTGCCAGAAGACTCCACCATCACAACAGTATTCCACAGAAAGGTCCAAACTAAAAAGAAGCATGCTTCCAGAGAAAGATGAGTTATTTCCATTGCTGCATGTATTTGACTAACATGTATAACATTTCAATGATTGCAATTTTCAAAAAGAGAAACTTGAGATTGACTTTCATGCACACATTTCAAGAAGTAATCTGAAAAAGCTCAAACTGCGAATGAATTCACTATAGACTCAGTAGATTAATGTTCCGGCCATTTTTAAAGTAAAAGGTCACAGAAAGCTTTTTAATACCTTTTCAATTATATTGAAAATAACCCAAATAAACTGTTGACCCCATAAAAATCATTGGTTTTCATACTCATTTATTTAACCGCATTCTTTTTTCCACTAAATATGTTTTTCATATTCTAAAGCACTTTCAGCATATTTTTTCTTCAAGAACCTCAAAGAAACAGTGTAGGAATTTAAAGAGTATTTAGTATACACTTTTAGGGTAAGATCCTTTTCAATACTCTTTTGCTCACTGGAAATTTTAAGTACGGGCATTGTGCCCAATGTAACAACACATAAAACAGATGTGTTTTTCCATTCACATTGGGCAGGAAGTTTCATATTAAGCATTTCAATAATTGCACAAGAAATGTCTTATATATGCTGAAATATCCTTATGGCTTGATTTATACTGGAAAAATTAGCTGTCCCCTAGAGCAATAAATACCTGAAAAATTAAATGCCATAAGAATTTTAAACTTCCATGGGGAGTAAGGGATCACAGATACTCTCTGTTTTACTTGGATCCCTAGATTTCACTATTTCCCCCTTCTCTCTTTGACTGTTTCAAACATAAAAGTTTGTGATACAGTCACCACTGGTTTAGTTAAGCATGAATGTGGATAAGAGTTCAAGCAATCAAAAGAAGTGAAAAAATAGGCTGAGTAGGTCCAGATTAAATGCATAGGCAGCCTAGGCTCAATCCTGAGACATATTTTTGTGTGTATGTGTGTATGTCTGCTGCTGTTATGATCTGGAAGTTGGAAGGGATGGAAAATAAGCAGAATGGAGCAGAACTTGCTTCACTGATGTGTACCTGAACCTCCAGAGAGCCCTTCCAATTATAAATAAAACTCTGAGCATTAATTTATATCAAATCCTCAGGGAATGACAATCCAATATTAGAGCAGGAGAAGAATGTGTGTACCACAGAATGTGAATCTGCAACAGGTCTTGAAAACACATATATATTGATTACTATGCTACCACCCCTGTTGGGAAGAGTGGAGCAGAAGCTGCACATCCAGCTCCTGCATTCTAGGAACTGGTAACTTCTCATGGGAGGAACCACAAGAGTTCCCTGCAACATGGTGAATCAAAGGCTCTAAAAGCTGGATTAAAACCCTGTATTTATATGTGCAAAGAGGACTGGAATCCTGGCCCTGCTAAAGTCAGCAGCAAAACCTTCATCTTTCCTGAAGACACATTTTACTTTCAGTCTCCAGCTCTAAATCTTATTTAAATGTGCATGAATAGGTCCCGCTTTCAAAGGTAGTTATGTGAGCATTTGAAATTCTTCTTCCACAGCATCTATCTCTTGTGAAAATTTTGTAAATTGCACTGGAATACTCGAGGTTTAGTATGAAGAGGTGGGATGGGGGACAATGGAGCAATTGAAGCAATTCATATCTGCCAGTGACACCGTTCACAACTGTATTCTTTTTCTTTCTGTGAATATGAGTATTACTGCATAAGTTTGGTCACACAAATCTTACCCTGGCCATTCAAGAAAGGAAGCCTTACAACATTTGAAAAAGCGTATCTATCAGCCATTTAAAATGCAGTTACCTGAGTACTTCAAAATGTATCTTGCCTTTCGCTCTTGGATTAACGTTTTAACCTTCATTTAGCTATACTGTAATCCTGCGAGATAAGATCTGAATCCAGCGTAAATTTTTATAATACAAAAAATGTAGAATACCTTCTGGTCTTGGCTTTGGTTTTTCCAGTCCACCATCTTGCATTAGCTCGAATGCAAAGGATACATTGAGGACCTAGTAATATAATAAAGGTAATCATTATTGTGAACTATATACAGTATAGTATAAACAGTCGAAACAGTATGTATTTAAAGCTGCAGACCCGGATGCTTGGAAGGAAAAAATAGTCAGGGCTCCATATATCAGTGGAAGATCTAGTCCATGGAATCCAGACAATCCATTGTTTTGTTTTTTTTCTGGGTGGTGATGGTGGTTTCAGAAATATAAAAGTAATTGAAACAAAACATGTGAACTAATAATACCCATAGAAAAATGACTTACAAGTAAGAATAGCCCACCTCCCGCAAGTTTAAAAATTGGAACATGATGGCTCATCAAGAGCTCGTCTTGAATAGACGGCTGAATTGCCTGGATAGCAACAGACACTGAGGTAATGGTTGGTTTTAAAATGATACATCCTACACATATGCCTTTATGCTTTCAAAAACATGAAACTTTTCAAATGTTAAATTCTTGGATTTTGGACATGAAAAAATCAGCTCTGTCATCAATTCATGTGTACAGTTCTTTATACACTTAATGAACAGTAAGTCTGATTCAATGACAGCATCACACAATGGCTGCCAAAATCAGTTAATACTTGCTAACCACCCCATCCTTAATATAATTTTCATTTTTATTCTGGATAAGCATTAATATTGAGATCTTAAAAATTCTTGGAAATAGTTACCAGTCCCATCCTCTCTTGATTTCAGCCATTTACATCAACCTTATGTGGAAAAGCTGTGTCATCCTGGTACTACTAGACCTGTTCATACATTTATTTGTTTTTGACAGAAAAATGAAACCTAATTACCTTTTGTTCAAAACTATCAGGAGTCAAGAAAAAGCTGTGCAGAGGAACAAAATAGCCTTCTAGAAGACCCATTAGCAGGACTAAGTACACACCATCTGCAAACTGTAAAAAAGACATTTCTCAATAAATTTTCTGAAGAATAACTCATTGCTTTGCTTAGTGTACAAGATACATATTGTCTAATGCAGAACTTTCAACAAACTACAAATGCAAATATATTCAATTGCAAGTAAAAGACCTCATCTCACCTCACTTCTTTGATTCCTTTTATTTAGTTAGCATGTTCTGTTAACGTCTCCAAAACTGACCTAATGCTAAAATATATGTGCAGAACAAAGTTCTTGGAAAGAGAGGTGGTCAGTGGCTTTGACCTATGTCTCTGCTTTCTATTCTACTAGTTGTGGGGGATCAGAACAGCCACTTTTCAAGCTCTCAAATGGCATGCATTCCCTGAGCAGAGAAAAGCAAAATATAGGTAAAATCACATGACTACACAGAAATTCGGTATATTGGAGGAGATAAAGGAACAAAGAATCATCCATGTTCTGCCAGTCTGTGTCAATCTAATTTTAAGCGTATGTAGTTACAGATGGAAGGGATCTAATTGCTATGATATATGTTCCTTTCTATCTGAAAAAAATAACAACATCCGTAAGATTTTGTTAAAGACCTCTCTATTACCCCTGTGGCATCAGGACAATCAGTGCACTGAGATATCCTCACAATCAAAGTTACCTGAAGCAACCCATCACCTTCCCGAAATAGGTAATTTTCTTTCAACCGATAGAAATACAATCTCTCATCTTACAAAATACTGTTTTGGATAAATGCTAAGGGGTTTCTAGGTATATTTGAGTAATATGGTTTTTTCCCAAGTAAACAATGCAATAAGCAGGCATAGGGAACACCCTCTCTAAATGCCCTTACACATTATTTCCACCCAAATCTGAATTTTACCTTTGAAAAATCTCTATCAGATTGATAGCTATTTAGATAAACCAGAGATTCTTAATAACATGAATCAAGATATAAAATAAAGCCTGTCCTGAATACACCTGCATTTTTTTGGTAGTGCAGATCATCCTGCCTGCCCGACTTTGAAATTTTCTTCTATTTTCTGCTTCAATTGTTCACATGAGGAGGTATTAATACAGTAGGACTAAGCTTTTCTTTTAGCTTCTTTTCAGCAAACTTAGCAGCTGAGAAAAATAAAGAAGACCATGGACAACATTATTTCTGTAGTGCAATCAAGCCTGCAGCCCACTGTAGAGCTGCCTATACACTTGAGTAGCTTTACTTTCAAGAACATATCTCACTGAATAGTCATTGCATGCAATTGCATGGTTGTGTAAAGGTAGGCAGGAAGCAACTTTCAGATTGAAATGGGATAAAACTAAGTGGACAGAGTTCTTTCCTGACCAAAACAAGCACAGGTTCGGCTTACAGCACTTGGCAGCGCCCAAAAGGTAGCATGTTAACTAATTTTTATGCTAACTGAAGTACAAAACTGTTTTAGAGGAATTCAGCTGTCCTCATGATTTTTTGCTTAATTGACAAGGGTCTTCTTCACACAAACACATTTAGAATTCAAGGATTTCCCACTGAAATAACATCTTAGAGCATAATCAGTAATTTAATGATATTTCTGGATAAAGTTGGGGGCATAGTGCATAACGCAGTGCAACTATCCCTCCCCTTTAAGAAAGGCTGAAAAATCTTACCTGGGTCTCCAGTTCAGTGACCTCCAAATTCAATTTATTCAGATGCTTGTTCACAAAAGTGATGAGAGTCTGAAATATGAAAACAATGTAGTGAAGGCCTGTTCAGTACGGCAGCAGTTCAACACATGCAGTATGAACTCCACTCAGAAGAGAATGTGAGTGAGTGAAGACACTGAAACACAATTTTTAAGTTTTAAAACTGAAACATCACGTTACAAAAAAAAAAAAAAAAAATCCTTTTTTCCTCCAAGAATGTAGAACAGAAATAAAATGAATGTGATGTATATAAGTAAAAATACACTGTTGAAACATAATAATTCTTAAAAGAAAACCTTGTAGGATACTACAGGGAAGTGGGCAATTGGACTCCACTCAAAAGTGACAGCAGCCAAAATCCTCTACGTCAGACCCCTGGCAGTTGTAAACTGGATACCTCTTTGGCATCAGTACACTCAATCCACCAGTTGGGTTCTACTCAACATATACTTTGTGAGAACTTCTTTTTAATGGAAACTTTGATAACTACATGTTGTTCTATGTTCTAAAGTTAAGTTCATGCTGCTAAATTTTAATAAAAAGTAACATTATAATAATGAATTTGTGTATTTGTTTAAGCATAAACCTTAATTGTATTTAATGTATGCAAAGTATGACAATTATATATTATATACATACACAGTCACTACATACATACAAACAGATGCATACAAGCATGCACATGTTCACATTATGCATTTTAAAAATAAAAACTTTCCAACCTTTTTCACTACATTGAGCTTGTCTGGAGCATGGTCAAATAAAGTGTCAAATGCATCTCTTTCTGAAAAACATTCAGAGGTGTTAATATGTTAAGCAGCAGTTGTCCAAATGCAGAACAAATACTTATTGAGGCACATACTCATTTGAGGCAACAGTCAGCAAAAAGTTTCAATACAGTCTCTTTGTATTCCAAGTACCATGTACTTTGCACACTGTTCTCTTGCTATAAGCTGCTAGTAAGTTATTCTCTATTACTTATAAAAATCATCATTTTCTAGTAGGATTTGGATTAACTAATTAACTAATTGTTTCTCAAAAATGAACAAAGAATTGTGCCATTCTGATACACAATTTAGGATATTATTAGCAGGACAGGCAATCTAGGGTAGCATGACTGCAGTGCTACTGTAGTCACCTTCTAAAGAAAATGAAAAAAAAAAAAATATGAAAAGGCACCAGAGACTTTTCTGAGCAATTTTCACTTCGACAATCACCTGAAAGATAGCGAATGACTCCACAAAAAGCTACATTCATATTTCTCAATAAAAAAATGCTACAGGAGATCCAAAGGCAGTTGTAGGTCTCCTTTATACAAAGTAAGACTGCTCAGGGATATCATTGGGAAAAGAGGTCATGCATGTAGCCTTTTAAACCGGCTGTAAGGCAGCCATTGAAATAATACAAGAAGCAAATGCTAAATTCTTGGTGGGACTCCACCTAAGCTCCTCAGATGAGTGTTTTCTGCTGGCCAGGCATTTGGCCAGTCTCAATACTAGCAGTAAGACATACTAAGCACAGGAACTTGCATGGTGTTTAGCCTGTTGAATAATGACTCAAAGTCATTAAAGTCTAAGTAGGTAATGTATGCAAGAATGCCAACAAGTTCACCAGCTGGTTTATAGGACAAGACATCATTTCATATTATGCTGGGAACTTATGATTAATACTATTAGAGTAACGTTCTGGAGGTTAAACCACAAAGCACCTGCAAATTAACACATGCTGAAAAGCACTGAAATGTGTTTTAAAGATGGTCAGACTGATTTTAATGCTTTATTTTCCTTTTGTTAACTGCCACAATAGCCTGTGGTGCATATATTTATATATTTGCCAGGGCAACCTGTAGTCCCGTACTTCCTCGCAGCTTGATCAAAATGACCACCCACTGCAGAACTAATGTATACTTTGGCTGCCTCAAGAAAAAGATAATAATCAAATGAACTTACCATGCCTTCCTGATAATGCCCTATGGAAAAAAACAACAAAAAGAACAAAACACATTTATATATAATTCACTTACAGACACCGTGCTGCAAAAAATCACAGTATACATGTCCAGATTTTCAGCTTAGTGAAAATTGGAGTAGATTCATGGAATTAAGAAAACCTTCATCAAGTTACTCCAGCTAAGAATCTGGATTAGTCTGGAGTCCATCAGTATAATATCTCCTGGCTTCACTGAATACTCCTGGGAGGTCAGATCTCAGATTTTCTATTATTAAACCAAATCGACACACCTTGCCTGAGTGAAGAAGGCTTTTTCATGTTGATTTTGTGAAGACTTTTCCATTTGCTTTAAAGATGCATTTACCACACCAACTACAATACAATTTTGGCCAAAACAATGCTTGGACTGGGTTCTTAAGGACTGCAGCATTTTGCTCCAGTTGATCCCTCATATAACTATTGCACATAAACAAATTCTTAAAGATTAGTAAGTCAATAGTCTGGCTTCTTTCCATTCTATTAGAAACTAGGATACTCTACTGTTCCTTTCTGCTGGTTTGGAATCATTTTTCTGTAAGATAACATGCACAGGGCTTACTACTGTTATTTCACATCCTCAAAGTCCAAACACCTAAAAATAGTCATATCACATTCCTTTTTGAAAGAATCTAGTTCTCTATCAAGAAAATACTAACGTAAAAGAATGAGACATATCTTTCTTGTTTATTTGAAGGACTTTTGAATAAATTAATAAGAAGTATTATAAATGCAGAAATAAATCAATAGTTGATAAATGTAGAGATTTTGTATATCTTCACTGTGCCTTCTTTTTTATCCTAGTCTCCTGCTTTTAGTTCCCCAGCTCTGTATTTCCTCACCCTTTTGTATTTTTAGATGCATGTTTGCAGCTCTTGAAAAGGCTAAAACACAGTCACTGGCTGATGCATCATCTTCCCTGGAACCCCAATACCAAAATCTAAATATCAGCAAACGTTTGAATTTCTGAGACACATCTGTGTTCAATTACTGAACTGCTGGCAAAAGTGGTGTTGACATACTCAGTGTTACCAGTTATTTCCTCTTGGATTTGTCGAGACTGGAGGATTCCTTCTCGTTTCTGGAAAAAATAAAAAAGTGACATTTTCCTCAGTGAAGTTTAATGCTTAGGGTACAGTAAAAATCTGTGATCCACAAACATAATTAGATAAGAAACCTGCAAAATAAGAACTTTTTAAAAATGAACTTACAGTAATATATTATTTCACCTTGCAAGTATTTCAGAACACTCTTTGTACATTAACAAGAAACTTGAAACTCCACCTGTAGAAGGAAGCATTTCTTTTCCATTGTCCTTAATTCACTTTTCTTTTAAAGGCCTCAATTCAGCAAAACATTTGAAACACCTAAACACATATGTATGTATTTTAATAGAGGTATGTCAAGGTGAGTTGAATTAAACCTTCTATTTCAATTAACAGCTTGGCAGATGGTGACGCTGCTTCTCTTTTGCAAAAATCTTGCTCCCAGGCTATCTGTTCTTTCTTCCCTGTTCATATACTTTCTTTTTTGCCTCTGTGTTTTCTTCTTCTGAAATTCCTCCACACAAAGTGGTCTATTTGCTTGTGGTGGAAAGTCAAAATGGAGGATAATCCATTCACAGCCTGCTCCAGACCCTAGTCATCTTGGTGTTAATATATGCATTGACTTCAATGTTCTTCAGATGTGAGAAGCCCTTTGTACGTGGTGGTGAGTGGCCTGTGTCTAAAAGCTGTACAGAAAATGGTAGAAGCCAACTCAAATGGTTGGTATTTGAGTCAGTTGGAAAATGAAGGAATTTAAAAATCTGACATTGTTTCCAGTATGCAGTTCATAGTCATCTGATGATGGTGTAAATACTGCACATATGTTTTGCCTCTCTGTTTTTTCCGTGTTAATTTTATTCACTGGAATTAGTAAAATTTTGCAGTACAGAAAGAAAAGTCGGGCAAATGCTGACAACTGCATGTAAAATCTAGACATTAGGCAATTATTCATGATTCTTTATTCCCTGTCATACAAGGAAATGAGAAAAATAAATTTATGCTGGTCCTAGACTTGCCTTCTACGTGGGAAAGAGAAAAGGAGAATAACCTTTTGGAAAAGTCTTTCATGACATGTGGACTGGGACTGGTACTCTTCCCTGTCTTAGAGAAGATAGCACATTCCTACCTGAGGCAGTTCTCAGTGTATGATGTGCTGACCATTTGGCCAGGCTTGAGACTATTACTTCTCACTGCGTTACTAAAACATATGAGAATCAAACTTACTTTCCACAATAAAGCCATACACGGCATCCTCTGGGTCAGTCTAGACTGGATCTTGGAGTACTCTGAACTGTCATTTTAGCTAGATTATAGTTTCATGGGGTTTTCGTTATAGTTTGTAAAGCTTATTACTAAATATCTTGCACATGGTTAATAATGCATTCAGGGAGGACCTCTGAACATTAAAAAGACAAAGCGGAGTCCACTGTGCTACATACTGAAAGATGGGGTACAGAATAGCTGCTGAGACGTCTTCTATCACATTCCTTGAAAATCTTAAGAACTACTACATCATTTAGGGCTATCTTCATTTCCAGTTTGCATCTGAAGTTACAATCTAGTTTGTGATAGCTCAAGTTAGAATTCCACTCTGTTTAACACTTTTGTTTATTTTTCCCTTTGCTGCAGGGTGAAAGGAAACTTTTATTTCCTCCTGATGATGACTCTGACATGCCAATGATGCCTCCTGGAGCAAAAGCCCTATCACTCTTGTCTCCTAAGGGAGTTGAGCACCATAGCAATGGGAACTGTACTTCTTAGTGCCTAGTCTGGTGATATGGGAGAAGAAAAAGGTTTCTAATACTTTACCTTCCCTCTGCAAAAGTGCAAAAATAGCCTAAAACATACCTCAGCACCAATATAAAATGTATTTCCCTTTTTGATAACCTGCAATAAATATAAGTAGGAATCTGCACCTTAATCCTACTGTTGACAAGAGAAAAAAAACAACTAACCAACTAAACAAACTAAACACAACAAGACATCAAGGCCTAGTTTTGTGCCTGGCATCTGATCACTAACATTAATGGAATTTCCATACTGCCCAAATATGACATGCACCCACTGGACACTTATGTGATCAATACAAGTTAAGACAGACTTTCCTATGCTTTTGATTTGTAAAAAGACTGGTGAAAAAGTTCCAATGGCAACAATCAGAATGGACCTTAGAAACACTAGTCTAGTCTAAGCATCTTCTCTGTGAAGGCTGTTTCCTATACATCTTCTGAACTTTAAAAACCTTCCACCTCAAAACTGAGGCTAATACTGATGTCACCTGTTGTGAATCTTGTTCTCAGAGAATGACACAATATTCCTAAAAATACAAAGAAGCACTACTCAGGACTGAAATACTGTCCAGCAATGTTCCTTAAAGACAACAGTGGCTATAACTGAAAAAACAAATGATAAAAATGAACATCTACTATTTGAAAGTTACTAAGAAATGAGGCATGAATTAAGATTCACCATAGCTGGATACATATTCCAGCAACCACGGAAGACTTTATTTGGACAAGCTTGGTATTTTCTTCCCTCACAGCTGAAAGACTTCACTAAAGGCCATGAAAGAGCTTCCTAATCACTGATCATTTTAAATTGGCAACTAGCCCTCGAAAAAAAATCCATCTGAAATTTGGGTAATATGTTTGGAAATGGAAAGGGCCTCCTCTTCATCTCTCATCAGCTATATGTCAGCAGTTTTATGTAACTGAGGGCCAACTGTTTAATTTCCCACGCAAAGTCCCACTCTGAAAACCTTCCCACTATTTGAATGGGTTTTGCCTATGTATTCTTACTATCCATTTCATCTGGATCATGTTTTATAATTGCCTCACCAAAATGAAATACAGAACTATTCTAGAGCTTGGAAGAACAAATACCTTTGCCACAGGTTCAAAAGAAGATTTCTTTGGATTGTGGAGGCAATGATGCTTGGAAACATTCCAGACCTTCCCAGGTTATGGGACCAATGATCTCAGATTAAACTTGTGATGTATACCTTCTTCTAATCCCATTCATTTCCTGGCTTTGCTTAACAGTAGTTTATGTACCCTAGAATTGCTGTCACAGTGCTCAGAATATGCTGAAGCCATTCTGGCTGCTCTGTCAATGCAGTTGTATACTCTCTGACTGACATCTCTTGCACACAAACAATCTGTCATTTAACCGTTTGTGAATGGCATAAATAAACAGTTTTTAAAAAGAAGCAAAATGATGGCAGATCTAGCTCTCCACAAGAGCTCTCACTTGTTTCAGTAGAAATGATCAAACGAAGCCTAGGTTTTGTTCAAAATTACTCATTCCAGTATTACAGAAGGAAAATAAAATAATATACCAAAATAGCTACAAAAGGTCCAATATCACATTTTTTCCCAAATCATTTTATAACCCAGATTACATATTATTCTCATTGCTAACAGCTTTTGTACAAAACAGCCAAAGGAAACAAGCTTTCCTAAGAACTGTGCTGATTACCTGTTGGGCATGAGCACACTTAGAAATATCCTTGTTTCTATTTCAATAAACTACACCCAGCCAACACAGTAAGCCTTACATTTTATGTATTTCTAAACCTAACAAAATCATGAATGAATTAAGGTAGTCTTCCTTAAAGACTTCATAAAAGTACTTCATTCTTTTATTTTTTTCTCTCTCTCCCTCCTGTTCCCTTTATCAAACTGTATAGAGTAGAATTTAAAACCAATTAGCACATAGTCTGCTAAGCTTCCTTAGGCACAACCTTACTTTACAGAATATATGAGGGCTTAGAACATGAGGTGTGCAAGTTTGAAGACTAAATTAGGCTTTAGAATCTGCTGATTGTTGATTAAAACTTTCACTGAGTTCAAAGGGTACGTGATGAATTCTACAGAACCAATCCCACAGGAGATGAAAGAGAGATTTAAAAATTAAAAATAAAAAAACAACCTGCCATAAATTAAAAATGAAAAAGTGCCCCAAACACAACTATAGTAAGAAAACTGCCCTGCCCCCTGTAGTTAATAGGAGTCAGCATAGACTTGGAGTTCCACTGATTGGCTGTCACCAAGGACTGGGTCTACAGGACGAAATCTCCCGCAACATTACTTGGATTTTATTCTGGTGCAACTGCTTTCTCTGCAATTCACTGGCGCCTGAGCTACAGCTGCATAGCTAAGAGGCAAAGCAGTGAGCCAGATTCTCCCACTACTTATTGTTTTTAAATTGGTTTATCTGTACTGATTTCAGTGGATTTGCTGTTGAACTACATTAGCCTATTAAACAAGAAGACAATTACGTCCATTGATTTCAATGGGAATTTCGTCTGGACGTATGGAGTGTCAGCAGAATGCAGGATCTGGTTCTTTATTTTAGCACTGTGTTATTTTTCTGGTTTAGTTTTTCATCCCAAGGATGCCCTGACTGATGCATTCCTGATTTCTTAAGCTGGTTTTGGTATAAATTTGAGATAAACCAGTGTAATTAATATATTTATAATAGCTGAGGTGCTTGAAAATTATGTTCCTCTGAACCCTTAGATATCTAAATGCAGATTTGCTAGGGTTCTCTTCTGTCTGTAGAGAAACCCACGAAGCAGAAACTAAGAGCCAATGAGTCATTATCAGGCGTCAGTGATACATCTACCAGAGACTCTCCTTCAGATTTCTCCACAAATTACAAAACTTGTCTGATTCAAATGCTGGAAAAAGGAGATCTGTCCCACAGATTTTCAGTCACACAAAACTTGAGCAATAGCTCTTTGCACCAGATATTGCAGGGTAACATCAGTTAAAACACATAAATAAAGACAGTAACAGTGTAAAAAATAAAGGCAACGCTAATTGGAGAGAACGAAAAGCAGATTAAATGGGAAGAGGCCAAATAAGATAGAGCAAGCACAAGTCCAACTGAAAGAAAAATGATGAACGAAATAACATGAAGAGTTTGGATGGATGAGGCTCTAATAAGGAGACCGACTGACACAAAAGATTTAGTTGATGGGGGGTTTTTGCATGCTTATGAGAAAGCCAACACTGTAATCAGACTAAATTAGCATGCACAAGGCTGAAAAAGAGTATTTAGTCACCTACCATGAATCTGAATGTAATAAACAGTGACAATTCATCATTCACTGCCAAGAATGATTTGAATCTCTACACAAGTGAGAAGGCCATCAAAAATGGGAAAAATAATAATTCTGGAGATCATATTGGGTGATAAACACATTCCAACAATAATAATGTTTCATATATTTTTAATGTCAGAGTCTGGCCACTTCACAATCAAAAGAAGATATTCTGAGCCACAGCTCAATCTGGGAAAGCACTTCTGCCTTTTTCTGGTTGAAGTACTGTCAGCAGGGAAGACCCATGTGTGTTTCTTGTCAGCCAGAGACACACGTTGGCCTGCCCAAACAGAAACTCTAGGCGTATCTTCCAAGAAACCCCTCAGCCAATTTCACACCACCAAGAGCTGTTCAACACCTCTCTTACCTGCACAACAACCACCTGAATGGACACGTGATCTGGCAGTCTGATCGGTGCTCGAAAATACTGTGATAATGCAACCAGAAGATGAAGTATTGCTACAAGACTTTTAGCATGGACAGCTGAAATAGATATTAAAAGCACAAGTTACAAACTGCAAAGTAAGTAGGGCACATATTTTTACTTTTTAGGATGTAGGGATTATGGAACTCTTTTCCTCCTGACACCTGGAGCCAGAGGGCACTTTTAAGTCACCTCACCTTTACTGGTCTCCTGCTCAACTGGTCAGTAATATGCATCAGCACTGAAGCGTTATTTTTTGCAGCTCGTCTGGATTCCATAGGCTTGTGTTGATGGAAATCTAAAGCTAATCCAAAAGCCAGACTTCATGTTCAGCAGTGCTGTCTCTGCATTCTCCTTGCCTTTCCTTTATTCCTTTTATTTCAATAAGGATTTATGGACTATCAGAAAGATATTTTTGTACTCATAGCATGCACTTACTCATTTTTAAGTGTCACAATGTCTGCAGGATGATAAACGAGCCTATTTTGGCAGAAGCCTTAAGCAGTAACTTACTAAACTCAATGACTCAAACATTCCTCATGAAGTTATAGTTGTTATTGAACCTTTTTCACAGCAGGTTTCATATGGGTAGTTAACACTAACATGACTTACAAGATATCAAAAGCCATACTGTAGGAAATCCTTAATCAAGTATCAAACCATTGGGATGAAAGTGAATAACTTACAACTCTTGTTATTGCCTTTTTTCTTCCATTTTGTTTTTGCATTTAGAGTCTTCCCCAGAATAGTATTCCTAAATGATCTTTGATATCTACAGTAACAATTTTTGTACTTGAACTAACCAATAACTACTACCTTACTTTATTGGTAAAGCAGGATCAGATTCACTAAAATATCCTTTTTTGTTAGCTTCCAATGCAAGTCTCAACTATGCCCATTCATATAAAATGCGGTATCGCTGTCAAGTTTTGCTGGGCTGCCAGTGGTCACGGATGAGGTGCTTTAGCCAAGCACTAAAAAGATGTCTGTCTGCCTAGCACCGGTGTGTGCTACAGCTGACTCCAGCTGCTGCTGTCTATCTCTTCTTTAGCTCTAAAACACATGTAAAACATTAAATTAAAACTAGAAGTTAAATTGTCAGGGCACTCCAAACACCCTGCCTCCAGCTGCTTAACAGAGAATGGAAAAAACCTGGGGGGAGGTTGAAGAGAGATGGGGACAGAAAACTCAGTGTGACCACACAAAGGGGGAAGTCAGAGATGCCTGATGTTCACTCTTGCTCCCTCGAGCTATTTCTCTCCCCCCCCACTTTGTTGTGAATGGAACAAGATACAAAACAGCTCAGCTCAAGACAGGTATAGGAGACAGGGAAACTGCTATATTCTGGTCAAGATATTCACCAGGGTGAAATCATTCTGGATTCTGAATTCAAATTTAAAACAGATTAAGTGGCCTAATTTTCTAAAACTGTTGATAACCTGCTTTCTGCAACACACATGCACTAAAATGTCTTGAACTGGACCACTGAGGACATTTCTACTAGATATTAGTATGTTCATTTTAATACAACAAAACAGAAAGGGTGAAGTCCTAATCTTTATGAGAGTTTTGTAATCAAAATCAGTGGTTCAGATTTAGACTTAAACAATCAGAAATATTATTCATATTTATGTTGCAAATTAGACACAAAGAGTCCTAGGACCTAACTCTCCTTCTGTCTACTATGTTTATGCAGGTACTTGCCCATTTCAACAAACCCATTTAGTAACAGAAAACTTAAGCTGTTGTGCATATGGATTTAAGAGCAGAAATACCATACTATGACAGGCTCTGAGAAGACAGTATCTTTAAATTGGAGGTTGAGCACCAGTAAAGAGGGTAGAGTGTACCACATCTGGAAGTGCCCTGTATAGCAGCTCCTACCACAAATACCAGCTTTCAGCCTTCCCTTATCATTGGATATTTCAGAATTCAGAGAGCAGCTATAAACTCTCAGCTGTCAACAAATGAGAACAGCATAGAAAACACATAACTTACAGTCAACGTTCCATTTAATGCTTCTTGGAGGGAGTTTAAGGGTTTCGTTGATCTTTTCAAGCACTGTCTGTAGCTTCTGTTTCTGAGCAATTTCAGACTGAGTAACTTCAGCAACATTCAGCTTCTCACTTTCAAGTTTCTCTGAAATGATAATAGGAAAAAAACCAGAAGAAAAATCATTCTCAACTCCATGAAGAACACAAAGACATTCCATGCACCCAGATATACATTCAAGAGATATTAGACTTCCTGGTTTTAAAGTTATCTGGTTTTCCTTCAAGAGCCACTCTCCCCCACACTTCTGAGCTCCTAAAGATACAGTTCACATTTTCACTTTATTTACCCATTGACAAAGGGAAGGCCAAGTATTAATGAAAGCCACACTACTGGATAACAAATATTTGCTGCATGCAACTCCCTCTTAGGGAACATCAGACTCAGAGGTAAGGCCTATTACTTCTATTGCTACTGTATAAAGGGTATTCTGTATGCAAGTGGCTTGTACTTTAAATTTTGTTCCATCAGTCTCAGCTTCCTGGCTTTTCCCTCAGAGTCAGGAGATTTAAAAATTTTACTTGGCCTGTTTGTGATAAAAGTGAAGTGACATTGTATTCATAGAGGTGGAGGATGCACCCAAGAAATGAAAACAAGTATTTCTGGAGGTATGAAAACAACTAAAATCTTGGCCAATTTCTTTCTATGAAACCACAGCCTTTTTCTGCACTGAAAATTTGCAGTAGATTTTAAAATACTTTGTGAATTAGTTTGTTAATAATTAGTACAGATTGCTAGGTGTATACATACATGGCTTAGTGTTTATCATTAAATAGTAAGCAAAGAAAATTCTGTAGTAAAATCTCCCTGGTAACATCACTAGAAACAAAATGCTTGGTCACATGTCAATTTACTTCTATGAAAGAATATCTTATTGAGAGATATCTTATTTGGTAAGACCTTATCTTCCCCAAAAGAGTGAGAGCCTGAGCTACCACCCTATGAATCCTGCCTAAGAGACTGCTACCTTCATGGGTTTCTTGTGCCTCCACAAAAATCAGTCTGTGCATAGTCTCACAACAAGACCAAAGTCTTTAGTTAGCACAGACCTGATCCACAAGGAATTAATAGTAATGGAAAAGATTCCACTGAAATCAGTAAGTACTGGATCAGTATACACGTACTTAGAGTCAGGCTGTATCTGATGTGCATTTTTGGGGTTCTGGGTGAAGTCACTGGAGGTCTGCCCATGGGAATCAAATTGTTCAGTCTGGGGCATATCCAGTCCATCACAACATATTCAATAGCTTAACCATTCATAGAAGGGAATAGTCTGTGTAGTCTTTATTGGAAGTGCTCACATGATGTTTCAAGATTCATTTAAGATACTGAAAAGAAATTTACTGGAGACTTTATGAGCTGTAATAACTAAGAAAATGGCTTCCAAGCCAACAGTTAAAAAAGCACATGCCAACTCTGCATTAGCAGTTTCTTTTTTCTATCTGTTTCTCAGCTGAAGCTCAGTTTGCAGTCCACTGGGTACCATTACCTCAGTAACGTTAAAAGCCAGACATCAAATCAGAAAGAAATTCCAACTTTCCAGAGGAACTTTGCAATGTGAATAAACGATACTATGGAACTAGCAGAGATTAAAAACATCCACCATTGTACTGAAAATACCCTTGCCTTCAAACTTACTTTCCACTTGTAACACAGTTAAGTTTGTACAGCACATATGCAGATAATAAATTTAATTGGAGTGAATACTGCTGCCAAGACAAGAACCCACCCTCTCTAGCACCCCAGGTAGGCTTTATGCTGTTCTCATCAACTACAGAGCACCACACATTGCACTGTAGCTATAAGGATTGTGCATACAGACTATTGCTCAAGGGTTTCATAATACAATGCTATTTTTATATCACTTAGTGGCATAAATGTAAGATGATACCAAGGTTCCTAAGTAGGAACAAGTGATCTACTCACTGACAAAGTGCCCCAACAGCATGCACATGTATTTTTTCTTACCAAATAATTTCTGCAATACTTGTCCATCATACAGGTCTTCAGCCAAGTCTTTCACAATAATCCTCTCTCCTACCAACACATCATTAATCCAGTCAATTAATACCTATATGGGAAACACAAATTTGGCAGTGTTATTCACTATTCATTTGCAATTTAAAACACATGTCATTTTGTACAATGATGAAACTATTTAGCAGAAAGAATACCAAAACTGCAGTGACTCAAAATATAATCAGTCTGAAAGACTATCAGAAGAAAATAGGAAGGATTTAGGAAGGACTCTTCTAAGGTGGCCGTGTCAGTGCACCACAAGGTCTAGACAAATAATGGATTGATGCAGGGCCTTCTGGAGTAGAATCTGTCAGCAGCATTTTAACATTTTATTGTGAAGCAAAAGGTGTTGAAGTCAATTCTAATGAAGCTTCCTGCTAACATTCTAACCCCAAGAATCACAAAGACTACAAGGAGAGTCAGTGGGATCTTAGATTGGGGGTGGGATGGGACTAAGAATCTGGACTCAGGATTTTAATCCAAATTCTTAAACCTCTCTGTGCCGTATCTAGAGAAAGATACTGCAACAAATGACCTGTCCATTTCACTGGGATGTATGCACCACATGGTTTCATTTAATTAGTATCTAAACAGTGTGCTTTGAAGTGTTCAAATGCAAGAGGCAGGGATAGCATTAAAAAATAGTTTCACTTTCCTGAAAGTGTTTACATGCTTTTCATTACCTTCATTAGTTCTTGTAATTTGGGGTCATTTCTTGAATTTGGATCAACCATTGTTCGGACTTCATTCTCCTCTGGAAGGTTTAAAAGAAAGATATTAGAAACTATTACAGGCATGACACTTTATTTTACATCAAGCTTTCATGTTGAGATGTAAAATTGTTGTGAATTACCTAGCATAGTGTCTTCAGGGTCTAGTTCGAATGGAATTGGACTGAGAGGTAAGTTAATGGCATTTATTCCTTCTTCCTGTAATTCAGATACTAGGAAATAAAAAAGAAGAGCTTCGTCAAATTTCAAATCAATTTTACTTGCTATTTCATTTTTGCTAAAAGTAGCATTAATTGTCTTAATTTCTTTATAAGAACTTGACTCTATTAGATAAGCTACTAGGTGTAATTACAGCAATAAAATATAGCTAACAAAAATGGGAGGCCCAGCCAACAAACCTTTACTTGTATGGACAGATTTTTCATGGATAATGGTACCGGAATCAATGTAATTTCATCAAATCTTTTCCAGGATAAGGCCCATTGTTCTCAAATTTTAAAAGGCTCACTTGCATTTTAATGGTCCTGACATTTTAACATTAATGAATCATTTTTGCTGAGGGAAATGATTATGGCTCTCAGCTATCTCACCCTTGCTCTGGAGATGCTTCAAGTTTAGCTACTTGGGAAGAAAGAGCTGGGTCTCGCTATATATCCACCACACAGCAGCTGCCAGACTGATAAACTATTTAGGACTGAAGGTTCAGTCGCAGCACAAAGCTATCTCCATTGGTCAGGTCAGAGACCAGCTAGAGCAGACTGTGGAATAATTCTGGCCTGCGTTCTTGGCCTTTCTTTAGCAGAAACCATGGCAGCAGGACACAGGTGTAAGACAATGAACCCTCAAAAGTACTGCTTTAATGCGGAGTCCAGACATAGGTTGAGAAAGAATTTGGAGACAGGAATGGGGAAGTAAGCCAAGATCCCATAGTTTGGAGATGCCCACAGTTGTCAGGAAATATGGATGAGTTCTTGCTCAGCCAGTCTCCTAATGCTGCAGAAATCAATGTTCTTGTAATACATGCTCTGAGAACATAGGAACTGAGAGATCCAGAGAACTGTAAAAAGCAGTCCTGCCACTAGTTCTGTGCTTTACAGGTTCTGTACCTGGTGCAGTTCAGAGCAACTTCATTCATTCCTCTGGGTGACCCAAACTTTAATAGGTTGTGAAGACAAAACCCTTCCTTCACTGCCCAAACATGCCTCCATTATAGAAGAGAATAAATACAAACAACCCAATACACTAACGCTACCGCTATGGAAGAACACATAGCACTGTGCAGGGAGGGTACCCACTTTGGTGATCAAACAAGTTTGTATCTTGCTTTGTAATCAAGAAACCAGTGCAAACCTGATTTACCAAACCAGGAGAGAGCCTTGCTGTCTTATGAATGACAAGTAATGCTGTTTTGGCCACTCATTTTTCAGTGTACAGACCTTGACTAGAACTGTTTGTGAGCACAACTGTTCCAGTCAGTTTAAACTTAAATAACATAATTCAAGCATCTTGCATGTGTCATAAAGATTCAGGTAGCTGTATACACCTTCTGACATGAATTAAAATATATGATTTATGTGCAGATGCAGATTCACCATATAACATTTCAGATTTACCACCTGAAGCTTTCCTCAGTTTATTTTGAAAGTTACAGAAACAATTTAGGTTTGGAGAAAACAGAAAAGTAAAGAGCGACCATAGCGATCTTGTGGTTTGCTCCTGTCCCTGTAACTGCCCTGTAAGGTAGCTTTTGGAAAAGTTTCACCTTTCTGCCTTAACTTCTTGTGTGCAATAAATACAGTTAAGTTTCACATGAACACTGTGATAATTAGTCAGTTGGTGTGATAACAGTTCTAAGACTTGCCAATTTTTTTCTACGCTTTGTGAAATGTTTTGTGCTCTGCCAGATTAAATGTCTACGAACATTTCAAAAGCGTATGTAGCTGTATTCAGGCATCTATGCAAGATTCATAGCAATAATAGCTGTTAGAATGCTTATTACTTTTAATTATACAGAAATAATTTTGAAAATTCCACTGCTTTCAATACTGAAACGCTAACTTCACTTCATGCACTCACCCTGCTTATGTATCTGTAAAATACAAATACTGAGCAGCTCTCAAAAGTCATAAAATAATGTTGACAATAATAGTTCCCTCGATTGTTATATATCCTCTAAAACTGATGGCTGAGAGCAATGGACCAAATTAATCCCTCATGTAACTCCATTGAGTTCTGAGGAGTTATAGAAAGGATGAATTTGGTCTAGCATGTACAATCTCAATAACCGTTTACACTTAATGGCAAATTTTTGAACTAGTAGCACTCCTTAGAGAAAATAATTGCTGGTTTTATTAACCTCTCTGATTTTTTTTTTTCCATTTTGGTTCAAAATGGTTATGGGCATAAAAATGTCAGTGGATAGAAAATTTCCATGTGGAGATCCTTCTGTTCTGAAATGTTTAGTTCATGGATGGCTTCCACACAAAGGTTCCTAGGCAGAAAATATTTTTTTCACATCAGTCCCAAGAAGGAACACAGTAAATAAAACCTGTTCAAGTCAACTGGCTCCACTGAGCTCTCCTATCCCAAAGGGCTGTATGCTCTACTTGGGCAAGATATACTGGAGGAAGCACTCAGCTAATTTTCCTAGTGAAGGACAGTGGGGAAAAATTTTGGCTTCTCTCTCCAGGGAGCGACCCACTGGCAGAGCTCGCTGACACTTCTCCAGGGAGACCGAGTGGACCTTTAAAGGCTGAATGTTTTGTAAGGCATTCTTTACAAGACCCGTTGAACCTCCCTATATCTGTCCTCCCCTGTGCACAGCTATTAAATTCTACTTTTAGTAGCACGATCTTCATCATATTACCAGAGTTTCTGAAAATAAGAGAAAGCAAACAAAAAACTGCCATATCTTTGCAAGGAAAGGGAACGTAAAATACAAAAAAAATAATAATAAATATATATGAACAACTACTAAAATGCATTCTAGAACAGATCAATCTAAGTGTTACATTTATTGTACACCAGGGGCTAGTTCCTGCTTTGCTGTATGCAGGTATACACAAGTGGTGGTCTTGTTCCCCCAAGCAGCTCACCCGAATCGCATACGTTTCTCACACCTGCCTGAGCCATATGCAGAACCTACCCAACACACCTCTGGATGATCCAAAGATCCCACATGCATCCAGTCTGCCAGAGAGGACAGCTCCTCCTCAGCCACTGCATTCTGCAGTGCACAACCCATGCCCGAAGTTGGTATTAGTCCTGTAACTAAGACTCCTCCTGCCCTCCTGTCCCCTACAAGCAGAAAACAGGATGGAAAACCCCTGAGCCTGATAGCATCTTTTCCATTTCTTTTCCAATACTGAAGATAAAAGATTTAACTACAGATTAATATGACTGTTAGACAGAGCACGTAAGAACACGTGCATTATATCAAGTAGTACATAAAGGGAGACAAAATGTATTATGTAGTATAGCCTCACTTTCTAAGAATTTCCATCAAAAAAGTTCCATGACAAACCACTATTACACACTTAGGTGTTTACAGAGGAACCACAAAAATGTGATTGAGGTTAAGAGTTTGCATACCACAGTTTCAGAAGAGGAATCCATTTCTCAGTTGCTTTTCATTAATTTGTTTTAATTAATTTTCACTAATTTTCATTAAAATCACGTCAGCAATTTAGTATTTTAATAAAAACAAAGCACACGGGTTTGGGACTATTTTTGCAGCAGCTGAAATCAAAATAAAATAATTTAATTTCTTGAAATACTTCGAGGAACGATTTGGATCATCAGTAAGACCTCCACTCTGAGTCTTGCAGTGTAAAGACCCAGGAAGGGAAGAGGGGACACAGCTGCAGCAGGTCATCTATACCACACCACTTGCCAGCAGCCAGACCAGTGCAGTGGGACCTGTGGCAGTTCCTCTGCAGGACAGTATCCACAGAGTTGTCTGCTTAACATCAGGCATGCTTGGGTACTGGATCACCCCCAGCAGTTAGAGTGAAGAGCACCTCTCTGTTCTCACCCTCTGCTGCAGCCCAGATACATCCCAGTGTGTTGGCTACTATGGGGCTTGTTCTTGTCGTGCTTATATTGGCACGATTAGGGACTTTATCCTTTTGGACGCAAGAGGGAAAATCCAGTCCTTCATATTTTTTTTACAGTCACCATGCTAAGTGAAACTGGGGGTTGAATGTACTTTTAAAGCAAGACCCTTAAAAGTTACACATGGGCCTGACAGATCTCTGTGGATTGGCAATGTGAAAGTCCCAGTTTTAACTCTGTGTAAGAAATGGACACTTCTGATCAGACTTCTGATTCAGCTTCACATGCCAAATTTGTTATGATGTCATCAACTGCAACTCCACTGCTATCAGCTGTCAACAGACTTCCTCCTGTCATGCCAGCACCAAATTTGGCCCCAGATCTGGGGAGCCCACAAGCCTGTATCAACAGCAACTACAGTGGCTATTTTAAGCTGGATAGAGTTCTTACTGTTTTAGATGCTCTAGGATTACAAGGTCATAAACCTATGCTATCAAATCCACGCGGGTGCTCTGAGCCAGACTTTGCCCTTTGATGCGTGCATCCAACTGCCATTGAAACCGTTAGATGCCAAGCACATCTGACCTAAATGATTCTATGATTCTATGAAAGTGGAGTACTGCCCATACGGTTTAAATTGGCTTAATTCCTCTAGTACATGCAGCCTGTTGCTCCACATTGTATTTATTAGACAGTTTCATTTGGTTTTTTTTTTACTTGTTTATTTTGTGTGCTGAAGGCTTTTTGCTGCCCTGTTTAGTATTCAGAGCTTAATGTTATTCTGATTTGAATATAACGCATCCTATTATTTAACTGAGCTCAGAAATGCCACATCACCCAATGCACTCTGTGGTTTAGACGTATTTTAGCATATCTATCCAATGAATCATAAAATAAATACAGCAAGATGTAGTGTTAAATGGTCTCTCTGCTGACTGCTACAGCCATGTCTTTCCATATAATTGATTCTGTACTTACAAAACTAAAATTACTCAAGTGCTACAACACTAATGGATCAATTCTGAAAGTTTGTGACTAACTAGAACTGAACCCCAATGTTGGGAGGAGCACAGTGACACAATGTTTCTAACCTCAATCTTTCAAAACCAGATTTAAATATATACATACACACCTACATTAATATACACATAAACACTTC